AAAAAATTTCAGGGAAGTTTCACCTCTTGAGGAATAGATTTTCATTTGCACTGTAGCTCACGTTATTCTTGATGAATTACTAATTTTTTTAAATCATTTGTCCGTAGAGTGGTTACTGATTGTTTTAAAGCGTTATTATTTCGTGCAATATTTAATACATATAGGAACACTCATTCCACCACATATTATTGTTGAAATTGAATTAAGGTCCGCATTTTAATCTTATTTGAATCCTAGCAGGACCTAAATTTTTTTATTCAATTTCGAAAAAAATTATTTTGTAGTGGAAACAATTCCCAAATCATGAATATATCTACAAATTATCAAAGTAGTAATACCACTATCGACGGTAGAACATTTAAATGTTCACTAATTTCCATTTCGGTTTCGTTGTTAATAACATCCATTTCAGGCTCATCGGAACTTGCACTGAAATGTGACAAGAAAGCATAAAAAAAAAAGTGCCTCAAATTTCAAATTAAACCTTTCAAAACTAGGCAAAAATAGCAACTGTACAAGAAACTGATTACTTGTAGTGTTTACCGCAATTTTGTGATATTAGTTCATAATGTGATACTGTAGGATTTTAGTTGTTAAAACTAGTGGCGATGAAATGAAAAATGTAGACAAACCATTGAGGATAGCAATTCTTCCGAGATCTGTACACAGTGGAAAAGGCTGAATGTTGTGGAGATATCGCTGCACTCTGAATATTAAGTTCATAGGTAAATTTATTTCCACATTGAAAACAAAAACTAAAATAAATTGTGATGAATTTAGTAGTTTCCTCTTTGGCAAAGAAAACAAGATGAGGATCAGCCATTATTCCAAACAGTTCCCATGGACATTCGTTCTGAAAACCTCAAATTTAAATTATACTTCTCTGAGATTAAATTTTTCAGCAACTACAATATTTGGTGGTTAAGCAACGTAAAAGGTGAACACTTACGATCACGTTGGCGAGATTACGTTTTGAATTTCGTACAGGAATATATGACGGTGAAAGTGGTGATAGCAACGGTGTTGAGTCGTTTTGTTGAGTAGCAGCTACTCTACGGATACGGTTTCTATCATCAGTTTTCTCTGATGGCTCACCTGTATTCATTACCTTCATCATAAAATTGTCATTATTATTACCATCATCATTTGTATCTTTCGTAACATTTTGATATGATTTTGACTCTTCTGGCTCCTGTAAAAGCATGCACAATCAAACAATGTACATTTGGTACAATAATATCCCCTCAGATTTTCCTCTCTTACGACGATGATTCACTTCGAGCATGTTCAACTGATTATTTTCTCAATTCAAATATGTTAAAAGAAGAGTGAAGAAATAAAGATGGTAGTCAAGTGTAACACGGAGATGATATAGGTTGAAAAGGGATGAGAGCAAAGGTGAAATAAAAAAACCTACTGATGTAGAAATATCAGGCGCAAACTGTTTTTCATAAGAAATCGCTAATGTTCCATCTGTCATCTAAAAGATTTCATATGTCACTGTTATCTGAAGTTTGGTCATCTTATTGCTATCTACATTGAACAAGAATGTTCACTGCATGTCAAAAATCATCCGAACATTGTCAAGAACTTTCGACATATTTCCATTTTGATATCCTTCAGCAATGCTCCGGAAGATTTTGAAAGCACGTCATATTTTTAAGGACAAATCTTAACTTCAACATGGCAATTTTTTAATAACGTCACCAATTGATAGACTGAACGAATTGTTTACCGTCAGTGTTTCAAATGCGATCCGCATAGCTTATTCTAGTCTGTAAGTACCTCTCTGTAAGCACAAAAGTCTGTAAGCACAAAAGTATCTTTCTAAATTGAATTAACAAATTAATATTTTAGCTGAAGCAATATGGGCAGCGAAACAAATGAACCTTATTAGAGTTACTTCATTTTGGAAATGGTTAAGAGCAAAATAAATTTTTTTGGTGTCAATTTTTATGTCCTAAATTTAAAACAGCTACTTAGCCTAATTCAAAGTCATCAAGCATACAACCACTATTTTTCAATCAAATAACACAATTTTAAAATAATTTTCAAAAAGAAATATCCCAAAAAAATATCGTGAAAGATGCTGTGAGATGAATAGACGAAGGATCTGGACGTACAACACGGTTTCTGATAACTAAGCTAAGATTACTTCTCAGGTGGAAATCGATTAACTGAACAACTTAGATCAGTACTTTTCCAATAGAGCAGATGGTCAAAAACTTACTTAGGTGTCGCTTTCCAGAAAATTCTCCATGTTTCACTTTGCACCTTCATTCATATATTTTTCATGCACCTTTTTAGAGCGAAAATTAGTTTTTGTGATTTCACTTTGATTCTAATGTTACATTCTTGGTCGTTTTCAAAGGTACCAACAGTTACTTCTGCAAAATGCTCAATTTATATAAATATTTTTTGTTTTTGCATTTTCAAATACACTGGAGGGTTATTTTTTGTAAATGAAGCGAAAGACTTCGTAATAGATTAACTTTCTTCTGGTCAATAAAACAGATTCAACTAATGCAATGAACAGTTCGGTTATTGCTTGCATATTATCCGGAAATTATTTCGAACACATCATGTTATTCAGTGGATAAATATAGCCGCTCTCAGACGGTGCATCTGTCATTTGTAGATATTGAAGCTAAGGATTCTCAATAATACAATTGTTGGGATCTCTATTCCGTTATCTTGTGCAAACCTAGAAATAACTCGATACTAGGCTGAGTGACTAATACGAACACTAGTTCGTAGGATTTATAGAAATTATACCACCATACAACTACAACTGGCAATAATGTCTACACTGTCAAAATGATCGTGCTGGGAAAATCAGATCAAATAAAGCTTAGATTCACTTCGACTTAGCTGGTGCTGGTGAAATCGCATTGCCGCACCTTACATAGGATTAATTCATTTCGCACCACTTACTGTCTCTATCTTCCTTCCTTAACTTTGACGTTAGATCAAGTGCAGAGAAAATATTTTATTTGACATTCAAAGATGCAGAACTATTTTGCACAGCATTTATAGCTTATAGTTATACATCACTACTCACAGATAAGATTATAATTCAGTGAGCAATTTTCATAGTTTGCACAACACGACAAAGTAAAAGTTTTCAACATGATAGTGAGAATTACAAGAAAATGTTATTTTAATGAATATAATGGACAGTGATAAAGATATCTATGAGATTTCCGTGAAAGTAGCAGAATCAAAAATTTCAACAATGTCCATAGCTAGCTGTGTAAGTTCGCTGCATTCATGTAAGTTTGTAAGAATAGCAACGCAAATTCCATCAGTGCCAGTGAAATTATGGTCTGGTCTGATAAGGAGGACAGATGACGCACCCACAGCAGCACCAGTATGTAAAAAAACGCCTTTTCGTGGCCAAGTATCACTTAAACCTCCATATTTTTGATCCTCTCCATCGATTTTATACCAGCCAAGAGCGTACACATCTCCTCGATGATTCGAAATTTCACCTTTCCAAAATATTTTCATGGTTTCGGCGTCGAGCAATGGCTTTTTTCCATTGTTTTCCATTGATGATTGTTGTGCTGCATGATAACTAAAAATGGTATACCAAATTTTTCCCAAAGTCCATAAATTTTTGAATTTTGGGAAAAAATTTGATATGCCATTTTTGATATTCCGAATTTTCAATTTATATGAGGATTACAAATCTACCGATAGTAAACTCGAATTTACCTATAAAGCATTGCATTAGCGAAAATAAGTAAATCAGTGACAGTGGATAATAGTCCACCACCAGCCCATTTGCTTGAATTGTCTACTTCCGGAACATTCTTTAATTTATGATCCGGATCACGATAATAATACCTGAAACAAACGATCTGCAAGAGCACTTTCTAATTGAGACTTCTACAAAACTGCGTTTCACAACGAATTTCCAGCACTCAGTAAAATCCATCGTTACGTAGAAACTTAGGTAGGAAAGGTACTAGAAACCAGAAATAACCTCACATAGGCTTTCTCTTGAAAAAGGATTTTCAGCCATCATACCATTCTGAGACAACTTATCTGCCAGTTATTCTTCAATGCTATTTCTATATGTTTGGAAGTGTTAAATATTTATTTCTTAGCTTAAATGATTTATTTGTTTATGCACCAAAGAAAATGCAATACAAGGAGATAATTAAAAAAGACTGATAAGACGCACGAAATACCTGGCTCGATTAATGATGAGGGGAAAATTACGGTCGAGATATGAGTGATTCATTCCTAATTCCCGGAATAAATTTGTTATTTGATCTACATAGGTCTCGTTCGCTGCTTTCTCTAATGCTGCACTTAGCAAGGTAAATCCATAGGTTGTGTACCGGAATTTACTTCCCGGTTCTGCTACTAATTCATCATGTTTGAATATTTCCAATGCATCTTTCACATACTCGTAATGAATATTGGAAAAAAACTCAGAGTCATCCTTGAGCTCGACACTGCGATATCGCGCTAAATCGCTTTTACTGTCCTGGAAGATTACATTGTTTAAAAAGTTCCCCTATTTACATGAAAGCGTCAAATAAAGAACATTATATCCTATTCTGACATCGAAACGGGAAGAATGATTCGAAAAACAATGGCACGATGGCTAGCTTCGAACCTATTTCGGAAGGGGCACAATACTGATATCGACGTACAAGTAAGTTAAAAAGAACAGAGGACATTTGGACTGTTTCGGTAAATAGCCATATTCATCTCATGATGTCAGCCAAGCAAAGCCATTTCGTTTGATCTATCCGCTGTCCAGAAAAGCACGGGTAGTTCAATGCAAGGATTTCCGAAATAGAAAATTCTTGATTTTACAAATCAACCAATTCAAAATTATGATTTTACAAATCATGCGACGAAAAAAAGGTCATTTGATGATGTTTAAGAAAAAGAACGCACGCATACCTTATATTTAATCTTTATTCTATGCAATAAATCCTTCACATTACCATCAATTCCTGTTTCAGCCGCTTTCTTTAATTCTCTTACAAAATCTTCCACGGTCGGCTCAACCGGCTGTAACACAAACGATAAAACTGGAAATAAAATCAGAAACAAATCGCCATGAGCCAAAAGAGTTTGCACACCGTGGCCAGAACGTCCATATTCGGCCGTGTGATCAATGAAATTCGAAGGAGGTCTCGTAGTCTTTGTGTTTAATGAGTCTTGGTCTACGTTATGGGGAATTAGCAGGTAAAGATGAGGCGGAGTTGGGAGTGTCGGATGGATGAAGTTTCTAAAGTTTCGAAGAGTTGAGCGTGTCGGATGCATGAAGTTCCTAAAAGTTTCGGATAAACTGGTTTTAGACGATACATGGCTTTATCATCGACGAAGTTGCCCTCATTTCTATCTTCGACCGTCAGCACAGGAGTTATAAATGCACTTTACCACAAAAAAGTTCTTGATCACTATGAACATCCACGAAATGTTGGAACACTCGATAAGGATGATCCGAATGTTGGCACGGGCATTGTTGGATCACCGGCCTGTGGTGATGTTATGAAGCTTCAAATTAAGGTAAATCCTTTTACAGGATGTATATCATGAACTGCTTCATAAATTTGCAACAATAAATAGAATAAGAGCTGTAAGCCCATTGACTGGTGAATTTTTGAAGGCAGTCAGTCTCACTGCCTACTTCATTACATAACATAATGGTGTTTGTTTGAAGACATACCTTTTGGATTGAGACTGGTAATAGGCACTTAGCAGAACCTGTATGCAGTCACGGAAATTAGGAATTCACAGCAGTGCTTATCAATGTGAAGTCAGGTCGATGAAAGTGGCAAAATAATTGATGCAAAATTTAAAACATTTGGTTGTGGCTCAGCAATTGCATCAAGTAGTTTGGCATCCGAATGGGTCAAAGGCAAGACAACAGAATATGCTTCGAAAATCAAGAATGACGACATTGCAAAAGAGCTTTGCCTGCCTCCAGTCAAACTTCATTGCTCCAGTAAGTTATGGATTGTGGCATTTACTCCTTAATGTTCTTACGTTGCCTCTCCACATTTGACCATATTAAACTAGTGTATTTTCTGCAGTGCTAGCTCAAGATGCAATCCAGGCAGCTCTAAAAGACTACCAGAAAAAACAGAAGAAATCGAATGGCTGATCGATATTGGGCAATTATTATATACATGTAGAGTAAATTCGTTTTTTTGCTTGGATATTATCGATATAAGATATCAGTGTCCTAGCTTACCTGATAGTAATAGATATTTCCTTGTAATACGTATGTTTTGTTCATTTAGTTTGTAAAATAAAATTCGGAAGACCTTAGGCATGTCCCACGGCATATTCCTCTATCAACAGTTCACTCAAAGGAGACTGGCCACATTTTATGCGGACTCTAATTTATTTGCATTCATAAAAACAAATCGTAGTACCTCAAAGTTTCCGTCTTGTTGCTTAAAATATATATGTTTGTATATATGTATGTATATATATAGTACCCAACAGCAGAGCTATTCAACTAAATGAAAAAAAAGGAATCTGCCTCTGAATTTACAATAATCCTTAAAGGCAGTCCAGATGACTGGTCACACTTGAAGATTTGTAACCAAATGCATCAAGTCCTTATAAATCTGTTTCCCGAATTTACATCATGTGCTTAGTGTTTCAGTTCATTTAGCTAAGTATGCTCAACGGATTCGAGATCAATATTTTGGCAGAGTGAGAGAGGCGATTATAACATGAAAAGGTAACCATTTTGTAATGTCTGATACCGCTTGTATGACTCAAAAGTTGACGGATTGTTATAGTAACGTCTTTCTCGTTATATTTCTTCCTTGGGAAATCCGGTACATAATCCTGCAATTCATTCTCTATGTCTCACATATAATTTTTGATAATAAAGCTCCGACTATGTTTCAATAATCAGTATTGATGATTTCTTCCACTGGCAGTTTATAAATCTTCTGTTAATCACTTACACAAAAAAACTTATCCCCATAATAAAATGTCGAAACCTGAACGGACGCATCCAAATCAAGCTTTCCGCTCTGGACCAAACGTGCGGCTAGAGCAGCTGTTACTGGTTTACTTATACTGGCAATTCTCATCACTGTATTGCTTTTGCACGGTACTAGCTGCTCCACATCTGCGTAACCAAATCCTTGTTTCCAGACACATTGACCGTTACGTGAAACACCTACAGACAGCCCTGGGACTCCATTTTTCACCTGCACCATAATTAATTTTAAATACCAGATGTGACCAGTTGGATTTATCATTTCATGTAGTTCACTAACGAAGAGGACTGATTAAGAGTATCGGTTCTCATAGATCTAACTACCTTCTGCGGAAATACATAGCTACGAAGGTGAACGGGTTAGACTTTTGCTCTCAATAGCGAATATTTTTGTAAATATTCAGATTATTTATAATTTTGATTTCATTTCACAAGGGTCAAGGAAAGGGAGAGAAGTCATGTCCGATACTACTCTTTCCCACGTCACGGATCAAATTCTGTTTCAAAATTGTTGTGGAATCGGGCAACTTACAAAAGGCATAAGTGTTATCAACATGTCCTCTACAAAATAAGTTCCATATAAGATGTTTTTCATATAGGGGAACTCGAGTTATAAGGATGTTTCCATCCAGAAATTGTAAATATAGCGATATCATGAAGCAGAACAGTTTCCAATCAAAATCACTAAAATTAGTGAACAATTTTTTGGACAAAAAGGAGAAATTTCCGCAAATTTTTGTTCGGACTGTTCAGTGCTAACTTTTAATTATTTCCACAATTATTTCTACTAGTGTCAAGGAGAAGTACCATGAACTGCTTCACAATAGTAGCAGCTTTCTCTTTTTGTTCAAAATACCCTGGAGTACAGCAAGACTGACGATCGCTACTAAGCCCTAATCCAACGCCCGTGATCGATAACGGAAGAGCCAAGAAATGATACCAGCGCATTCTCCAGTTGCCCCTGAAAAGCCTGAAAAAGAAAGACCCACTCCCTTAATTTACAATCGAAGAACGAAATACAAGTACTAATGTCTAGCAACACAAATACAGGCATGCGGAAAAATGCGGCTACAGCAATCCTGCAATTAGTGGTCGGACTGGATCTTCCGGTCTCTGTAAGTAATAGATTTAATTAACAGGTAAGTTTGCTATATCATCCCTGCTCTATCAGTGACTATTCCCGCAACTTCAGGGACTTCTGGTACATTAACCGTTGTGTTTGGAAGAGAAAATCATGCGTGTGGGTGAGTGTATGCTTGTGGGACGTCGATTATGAAATGATGGTGCACAGGGAAAACTGTCTGAACTTATATGTATGCTTCAGAATAGAGTATCACTGTTGTCAGGAAATGGGATTTGGATATTGTAGGGGCTCCCCGCTAATCTTATCAATTCTTCCGGTTTATTGGAGATATACTTCGCCTTTTTTTTCGAATAGAAATTTTTCAAATACTGACTGAAACAAATTTTCAGGGAACAATTTCACACGCTCCAGTAATAACATGCCATGAAGGTTGTATGCACGTGTGTGTTTACCTTATTTGTGAAATAAACTCGGCATGACACCTCTTTAGTATCCCTTGCATGTTTTTGGTAGTGAAAATATGGAGTTCCATGCCTTATCAAAATTTTATCTAAAGAACATATTGGATGAGGGATGGTGTAATTTGAGTTTAATAATATGGTGTAACAGAATTTCCGGGAATTGGAAAGACGATCACTAAACAAATTGAAATTTGGAAATCGGAAATTGTGTGAGACAAGTATGGATTATGAGGGATACGAGTAGCGAGGTTCAAATTACTGCAGACTGTTTGTTTCATATGTAGGACTAAGAGAACTAAAGTTTTGCCGTCAAATCAGATTTATCTGTTGCAATATGAAGAGGTACTACTTGACCTTGATTTGTGCTTTTTTTCTCAAAAATAGTCGTGTTTTTCATATTTTTTTTGGACCAGTTTTAATAATTCAAGATCGATTTGCCCTTTCATCTCACAGTATACTAAGCTATATTATCTTCCAGAATATGGTTTCAAAACGCCTTTTCCTGTGGTTATGGTTTCTTGGGGACCTGTCATTTTTAGTCATGTCTTTCACAAAAACATAAATGCAAAAAATATCTTATTGTTATTAATTCGAAAGTCATCTTTGGCATCAAAGTTTAGAGATAGCTTCTTTTTAAAACGTACAAATATTTGAAGAAGATCAAAATTATCTGAATTGTTCGGTCGAATAATGCAACATATCTTCTAGTGTTAGTACCATTTATGTGGTTAGATTCACAGGGGAGGCTCACGGTGTGAGCCGCCTAGTCAGTTTGTTTTATTTGTTCACTGACTATTTTCTCAATGATTTGAGGGACAAATGTCCTACCAATGACAAGTTGTTGCTTGCTGCAATACATATTTAAAGCTACATAAACTGAAAAAAGAAAAGTATCGAGATATATTTGGAAAGATCGTTCTTCTTGTTTATCGTAGTCATTTGTTTTTTCAGCCGTCGTTGAATTTTGCGAAGCGATTAGGGGCGTCATTTATTGTCACTATAACTGTTCTCACTTCAAAAAGAGTCAAGACAAGACCGACGGATAGTTTTAATACGGATAGTTTTAATGAATTTACATACTTATAATTCCAAACATAAGGCCATTATGTTAGTAACTTTAATCTTTGGTCATAAATCCGATTCATTTGAAAGTCAACATCGCAAGCTTTATTTCGTATTTCATTTTCATATTATTATTATTTTTTTTCATTTCATATTGCAATGTTTGAACATTGGAAAGTATCCGCTATAAGTGAATCGGTATGCAATCACTGCGAGATGAAGTACATAGCCGAATGGTCGTACACTCTTGGTGACTGAACCGCAAAATTTAATCTGATGAACACAGGAAATATTTGAAAAGAGAGAAGGAATTGCATTTAGAGCCAATTGTTGTCAAGGATTTAGTGGTAGCTGATAACACGAATAATCTGTCCATTATCACTTTATGTCAACACTGATGTCTTTGTTCAGCAGAAGTGCATCGAGGTTTTATCTCACTATTTACTTAAATTAGTTAGATAATAAATATCATTTGTCTTACTTTCTGTCTTGCTTTGAGCTGTTAAAGAAGCTCTATTATGATCTCGTATTAGCCTTATCCCATGTTCCTGATCGCTTATGTTATCAGTCTTCCCCATAAAATTATTCCAACCAATCTTGCCTATAGCACAGGATCATTTGCCGACTTTAAAAATGGTTCGGAGATTTCTAATTTTATTACTGATTTGGCGCAGCACAACAGACAGCTGAGAAGTGCGTGGATTCTCAAATAACTTTGAAAGTAGAAACGAAGAAAAATCTGAAATATGCAAAATGTTTTTAGAAACTTCAACATTTGAATTCACATAGCAGGTTGGGCAAAAAGAAAAAGCAATATGAGGTAAATTTATTCCAGAAAAGAACTTGATCTATTCGGAAAAATTTTGAAATTGTCACCAAAACTCACGCACTGCTGAAACGCGCATTGCTGATAGCTGAGCTTGTGCTTGAATGAAACAGCTGCACTCAGCAGATCACAAATATGCATAAATACGTTTATCGTTGTGCCAGAACTCCGTCAAAATTTCGTTTGGCTATCTGAAAATTGACAGGTTCCGAATGTGAAAGATCCCAAAGCAAGGATTGACTACTCTTCTAACTGCTAACGAAATCGACACTTCGTTCAACTATCGTTATGCAATCAAACTCAACAATCCCGGAGCATTATAACTGGTTGCCACATAGACCACACACGATGCTTAGGATGGGTGTGGTGGGGTCACCACATTGTCGTTTTACGGCACCCTCTATCATTTAACATCATTATGACGTCACTCGTTAAATTGATTTTTTCTTCTTAAACTTGGCGCCCTTAGGATGTTTCAAACTGAAAATTGTAACTGTTGCATTCAAATACCAATTAAAGTTTTAAGAAAGTCGAAACATGACTCATTTCAGCCTTCAAAACACACAAAGACAATCCATGCTATCGAGAACAGAATCTCTTTTATAATTAGTAAGCATACTGTACTGATAAGAGAGTATGGAAACTTATTTTATGATTAAAATGAGATCCCTATCACTTAGCACTTCAAACCTGGAACAAAAACCTGTTCCATAAGAAGGATTTCCCATTGTCGCTGAAATCGCTTGACGAAGCAATGAATCACTGATTCCTTTGCTGTAAATATGGTATCGTTGGGTATAATATGTTGTCTGTGCAATGTAAAATGTAAGCTAAAATTGTGCGTCTATTATGTTCATATGCTCTAGCAAAGAGCTTCATTCCACATGAGCTAACAAAGGCGTTAAATCTTGTAATCTCAGACTTGTACCACGATCCTCTCTCCTCGAGGAAGCAGAAGGTCATGAGCACCAAAAGTATTTTAAACATGTATTTCAACTAAGTCGGTTGGATAGACGATATCGAACATCATTGTGTCTCCTTCCTATATTCTTATTGTCATCAATTTGTCTTGTCGAAACAAATATGCCGTAATAAAAGTCTAATTACCCGAGTTTGAGGTATTGCCAACCAAAGAGGTAGCAACAACTCTCAATCTTTGTCAGTGTTGAAGGAAATCGTTGACACCCACTCTGTAGGAAATTGAGGAACACAAAGAAGGAATAGTCTTTGAATCCGAATTTCAGTGAATATAAAGATGCTTGCAAATTATATTTGTTGACCAAAAATGTCTAGGCTTCAACTAATCACATGATACGTAAATATAAGAAAAAGTAATAACGCGCGATGATGACCACTAAAACGAGGAAAAAATGAAATGAAATAGGTTTGTTATGAATTTTGTGAAGGAAAGGTATCGTGTAGCTTTTAACATAAATGCTTTCAAGAAACAGTTATCACTCTTACAAGGAGTCAGTACAACTTGCGTAAGATCTATCGTAGTCTCTTTTTTAAAAGCAATTTTTAGATTTAAGAAATATTGAAACTTCCAGCCGAACTTTTCAACAGATTTCACTGCCGGAAACAATGGGAAACATGTTTTTGATACCGGATCTTTCGCAATTAGAGTCAAATGATACTAGCTACCGTTTCTGACGTTTCGGCACCTTTTTATAAATCCTCTAGCATACTGTATATTTCTACGCGCATTTCATAGATTCATTCGTCTCTGTTACATGAAAGAATTCATTTTCGCTAACCAATTTAATATATTATTATATATATATATTAAATTTTTTTTTTGTTCGTGAATACTGTGATATTATACCAACTTGCGAAAGTTGTAAGAGGGTCTTATGAAGAGGCGATAATTATCGTGTTGACATATCTGCATTGCAAGAATAATTCATTGCCGAGTAAACTAATAAAATACAATAATTGGAGTTTATTTTTGGTTTTAAAATGAACGACAGAACGACAGAAAATGAACGAATGAAAGTACAAGAATTTTGTTCACACCAACAAGAGTAATAAGTGGTACGGTTTCCTTACAAAAAAGACAGAAAAAAGTATTTCAACGAACAATTATTCTGCAATGGAAAACAGTTCATCCTTCATCCTTCCTGCTACTTCCCCTGCCAATCCCTCATGTATCAATTTCAGCGAAAAAAAATCAAACCAAATGTTCCAAATGTTATTTGAATAGAAGCACTCTGATGATACTTCAATTTCGTATAAAATATTTTAGTGGGTAAAAAATTAAGAGGTGTGGAAGAAAAGAGGAACATCCTTTCTCCTCTTTTTTCACTTTATTTTATGCAAAAATTATTTTGTTTGTACTAATGCTTTCATTGTTATAATTTTTTTTACTACTAAATTT